CTGCTGACCTTTTAGTTAGCGGCCAAATGCTTAACCACTGCACCATCAGTGCCCTATAAATTCCAGGGATTTCTGTTTTGTTAGGTCTTAAAAGAGATCCTGGCACAGGATAAGCTTGAATAAATACATGTTGGATAACTGAGCTTATATTATGATATTAAGAAATAGTTATTTTACTTCTTGAGTTAGTTTTCTATCTTAAAGGCTCACCAACATAAATAATATGTTAATTTGATATTACCACTTAAAAATATCATTGAGTAAAACTATACCTTCATGATAGAAAAACAAGCATTTTCTTAAAGTAAGCCTTTATCTGCCTAACTGAAATTATAATAACATTTGTTTTCTCCAGAAAAAAAAAAAAGGTGGATGTTATGGATTGAATTGTGTCCCCCCAAAATATGTCTTGTAAATCCTAGTCTCTATGCCTGTGGTTATAAACCCATTTGGGAATGGGTAGTCTTTGTTATGTTAATGAGGCAGGATTAGCGTAGGGTGTGTCTTGAGTCAGTCTCTTTTGAGATATAAAAGGGATTAAACAAGCAAGCAAGAGAAACAGAGATGGGGAAGAGAAATTCCAAGAACATGAAGATTGTCCAAGAGCAGAAGCTCAGAAGAGACAAAGACCTTCTTCCAGAGCTGACAGAGGGAAAGCCTTGTCCTAGAGCTGGGGCCCTGAATTTGGACTTCTAGCCTACAAAATTGTGTGAAAATAAATTTCTGTTTGTTAAAGCCATCCATTTGTGGTATTTCTGTTATAGCAGCACTAGATAACTAAGACAAAATTTGGTACTGGAAGAGTGGGGTGCTGCTCTAACAGACACCTAAAATGTGGAAGCACTTTTGGAATTGGGTAATGGGTAGAGGCTAGAAGAGTCTTAAGGTGCCTAGTAGTAAAAGCTTGGATTGCCTTGAAGAGACTGTTGGTAGAATTATGGATGTCAAAGACGATTCTGAAGAGGGCTCAGAAGGAAGCGAGGAGAGCTATAGAGAAAGTCTCTATCGTCTTAGAAAATCATATGGTGCCAGCAATAGAATGTTGCTAGAAATGTGGACATTAAATGTGCTTCTGGTGAGGCTTTAAAAGGAAATGATGAACATATGATTGTACAATGGAAGAAGAGTGATGCTTTTTATGCAGTGGCAAAGAACTTGTCTAAATTATGTTCAAATGTTTGTAGGAAGGTAGAACTTATAAGTGATGAACTTGGATATTTAGCTGAGGAGATATCGAAGCAATATATGTGTGGTTTCTCCTTGTTGCTTATAATAAAATGTGAGAGAAAAGAGATGGACTTAAAAATGAACTGTGCAAAATGAAAACAGAACTTAAAGATTTGGAAAATTCTGTTGTACAAACTAGGTACACGTGTCCTGGAATGTTCACCAAGGACATGCCTACACAACCTTTTGTTCAAGAGATTAAGCCTGTGACTGATGGATCTGACCAACTACCACAGCAGAAAACCCATCAGTTTAGACTGAAACGGACAGAGAAAGAATGAAAGGAAAGAATGCTGTCTGCCTGTTGGAATTCTACCGGCAGGAAACAGGCCAAAGGAGCTACATCTGTTGTCCTCCAAAAAAAGAAAGGGATCATCCCTGGCAGCTTGGAAATCAGCAGAACTGTTTGAAGGAGCACAGGAAGCAGAGCCTTTCTGGTTTCATTGTGTGGAGCCACGGTCTCCTGGATCTCAAAGGGTGGGACCACAGCCTCCTAGGTTTCAAAGAGTCAGATCTTTGCCAGCTCGGTTCCAGACTGTGGTGCTGCTGTTAAGGTGTGTCAAGGAGATGGGGCTACTGCTCAAACCTAAGTGGGGGGAGTTGCCATGCCCAAGGAGCAGAAGAATGGGGCCTGCTGGGGCTGCAGAAGTGGGCTGCCACTCAGATGGACTAGGAGAATTGGGCCACCCAAAGCCAAGGAACAGAGTTGCCATCCCAGTGGACCTGGAAGGTGGAGCCTCCACCCCGAATCCAGAGGGCATGGCCAACACCCAGAGTCTGGAGACTTGGGACATTGCCCAGATGGTCTTATAGAACACAGAATTACTTTCAAGCCTTGAGAAAAATGTAATTTGTTCTGTTAGGTTTTGAACTTGCTTGGTGCCTATTACCCCTTCATTCCCTCTAATTTCTATAATGGAAGTGTCTACCTTGTGCTTGTTCTACCATTGTACTTTGGAAGCAGATAACTTACATTCTAGATTTCATATGTTCACAGATGAAGAGAAATTTTGCCTCAGGATGGAATATGCCTGAAATCTCACCCATATTTGATTTAGATGCTTCAGAAGATGAGATTTTGGACTTGGGGTTTACTTAAGACTTTTGTGATGATGAGATGGGGGGGAATGTGTTTTGTGTGTGGCAAGGATATGAACTTGGGGGGACAAAGGGTGGAATGTTATGGATTTAATTGTGTCCCTCAAAAATATATGTTGTAAATATATGTATGTAAAAATATATGTTATAATCTCATTTGGGAATTGGTCATGTTTGTTATGTTAATGAGGCAGGATTAGTGTAGGTGTGTCTTGAGTCAATCTCTTTTGAAATATAAAAAAGATTAAACAAGCAAGCAAAGCAGAGATGGGGGAGGAGAGGTGCCAAGTCACATGAAGATTGCCCAGGAGCAAAAGCTCAGAGCAAGGACCTTCCTCCATAGTTGACAGAGAGAGAAAGACTTCCTCTAGAGCCAGCAGCATGTATCTGGACTTCTAGCCTCCTAAACTATGAGAAAATAAATTTCTGTTTGTTAAAGCCATTCATTTGTGGTATTTCTGTTATAGCAACACTAGATAATGAAGACAGTGGATTTAAAGCATTTAATTTAAATTCATAATTCATTTTGGTATATGCTATCTCTCTCCTCTCTCTCTGTCTCTCCTGTGTGTGTGTGTATATATATATATACACACACACATATATATACATACATATATGTATATATATTTATTTATATATATATATATGCACATATATGCCAAATTATTTAAATCACTAGATTTTTTTGCCTCTAGGAGCTAGAATTAGATTCATAATTTTATTTTTAAGGTTATCATAGGTAATTTTTAAAAATGATATCCTAATATATTAACACCTAACAACAATAACAACTTTTTAACAGCGTTAATTTAAAAATAAGTAGGAATCTATTCATTCTAAACCACTGAATAAAACTTAAGCACAGGATTTAAATGTTTATACAGTTTACTTTTATTCATATTTTCCCCTCATGAGTGAAAATACTCTTGACCATTCTTCCACCGCTAACTTAAGGGAACAAATTTATAATCTTTTCCCCTGAAAATTGTTATTATAGCAATAGCATTCTAGAACCCTTGAAAGCTTAGGTAGAACAATTGAAAACACTCAAGCTGTTTTTAATTTGTCTTGTCGGATTGAAGCAAATGGCAGTATTAAGCACTGTTTTATTTTTCCTGTGCATTTTTGAACTTTAAATGTGTTATATCTGAATCAGACTGCTGTGTGGCAAAATTAATATAGATCCAGCTTAACCACAAGTAACAGTCTAAAGGTTTATTTGAGTTTTCTATCTGAATGTGGAACAAACATCTTCTCAAAGAAGCAAATTTTCTAATATTAAACCTAACAGTAGAGGTGGTATAAAAATTGGAGAACCTTAGTGACAGATAGCTAAAGTATTCAAGATAGCAGCGTTAAATTTAGGGCTTCCTGTCTCATAGACCATTGTGTGGTTTCAAGCCCTAAGCAAAGACTGCAGTGTTGAATTCATAGTTAAGAGCTTCAGCAAGGTCAGGTTTTACAAAGACTTTCCTACCAACAAGAAGGGAAAGTAGTTAACAGTCTATAGGACCTGAATTTCATTGCTGCTCAATGAGTCTTATTCACAGTTAACTTGTGGTCTCTACATGTTTCACCTTACAATGTGGTTTTAGCTTTTGCAGCATCATGAAAGATATATTTTATTAAGATTCAAGTTCCTTTACTTTAAATATTTTCTTAAATATTTTTCTTATAGTGACAGAGATATCTCTGAATTTCTAAGTTCTTGGTTCTTCAGAGAATATAATGGGAAATCTGTTGAAAGCTACCAGTAATGCAACTTTTTAACAGACTGAATACTTTGGTCACAGATTCCTTCCCAAAGAGTTTTATGTTATACCCTTTGGATGATGACTAGAAGATGCTAGAAGACTAGTGTCTTGTTTACATGCCTAATTTAGTTTATTAACACTGTGTTCACCATAAACTTTCAGGGAGGATGGGGGCTTCAGAAAGAATACATTTCTCCTTAATGGGAAACACTGAGGAAAGTTTTATGAATTTGGTTTGATTTTGAACAGTGTAATTCTGAAAAAAGCGTTTTTGGATTGTCACAGTGGCTTCAACAATGGGCTCAAACATAGCAACGATTGTGAGGATGATGAAGGACCAGGCAGTGTTTTGTTCTGTTTTTACACAGGGTGACTATGAGTCTGAACCAACTCCAGGACACCTAACAGCAACAACAATTTCTCAAAGGTTACTATTGTAACAGAGTGTATGCTCTGTATTCTCTAATGTGGACTGGAGTTGATGTAAATGTATTTGTATGCATATATTCTGGATATACTTTTCTATATTCTGCGGTTCTCCTTAGCAAAAGCTCTGTCTCAGCATGCTTTGGATGACATTTCGAGAAATTCATTCTTTGAAATTTGTAATGAGTAGGAGAGTCAGCTCAGAAACATGGCTTTTTCCCAGGGCACCATAATTGACCAATTTAGTATCATAGTAAGATACCATCAAATTATTTAATTAAAAACTGTACATGTAAGGTACTGGTACAATATACCACCTAAGAAATACTCAAAATTTCTGTGTAAAGGTAGCATACCCCCCAAAAGCTGAGACTATAAAACCTTTTCCAGAATCTGTGGAATATTCACAAAGATTGTTCATGTTTTAGGCCAGGGATGAAGCTTCAACATGTCCCATATAGTAACATCAAGCAGACTATACTCTCTTACTAGTAGATTACCAGGAAAATTACAAACCAGTAACAAATGAATAGCTTTACAAATCCTGCATGTCTGCAATACAAGCAGCAATTTTATTTCTAGGCTTCTGAGTTTGTTTAAGAAATTTAAGTCTTTAAAAATGACAGGTGATAAGTGTGCCCTTTAATAATACAATGGGTTTATCAATAACATAACATAGGTGAGGCAATGAGCAGTAGATAATCTTATTAAGGCAAACAAGTGAGCTCTACAACAATCAGGAGTATTCCACATTATTGTTCTGGGCAAGTATTCGGTGGGACCAATCGATTATTTTCTTCTTCATTTCTTTCCTTGCGTATTTTCTAATTTTTCTATAATTAGCATGTATTTCTATTAAAATGAGAAAGAAAAAATCTCAGTGAAAATAAAGAATATACTCCTAACAAGAAGCAGTTTCCAAACCTACTTTTGGAAAGTAGCCCATATTGGGAAGCATCTAATTTATTCATGAAAGCAAAATCACTTTGTGACTCAGTATTTCACAGAAAATAAAATCTGATATATATATATATTTATATGTATGTATATATATATATACATATATACATATTCTGATGTGGTAAGAAAAGTATACTAAAAAACAAGCAAAAACGCCCTGCATTCTGAGTTTTCTTAGAAAAGAACAAAGTCAATACTTTTCTTAGCATTTACTTCTCATTAAGAGTGGCAAATAGATTTATTTAAACTCAACACTTTAAATAAACTCAACAGTAACCATGTAAAGAGGCCTTGTGGCAGATGCTGTTTAGTGCCCTGCCTATATCCTCTTGGCTCACCCTGGAGGTCATCTCTAGGTGTGGTGGACAGTTCCAGTACCTGCCAACAGCTTGCTACCTTGAGCACTTGCAACACTCTGCCTCAGGGCCTTTTCTGGCTTCTTGGGAGAATGTGTGGCCATTTTCAGGACAGACCTGCAGTGCCTGAGGGCTAACATCCCCACCCCACCCCACCCCCGACCAGAGACACACTGGAGCAATATTCAAACAAGCAGGGACAGAACTGAGGGATTTATGCCCCAGCTTTCTCAACCCCTTTAGGACAATCCAGCTCATGTCCCACTTGGTTTCTCAGAGGTTCCTCAGCAGAACAGGGCCCCAGTTGCCCACAGAAGTAACCTACACATTATTAATGTACATTCTTGGCTTTCCATTTGTGGTGGATTCATAACTTTTGTGTGTGGTCTTTATAGCCATGGCCTTGTAACTCCCACCTAGGTGTCTGTGTAATAGGTAATTGTGGCCTACCAAGGGGATTGGTCAGTTTTGTCTTAAAAGACAGCCAATTCCAGAGTGAAAAGGAGAACCCATCACCACTGAAGAAGGAGACACCCGCAGCAGAAAGCAGCGGCAGAGAGCTGCAGGAGATGGCACAGTGGGATTCCTGGCCCACAGAGTGAGAAAGCTGAGTGCCTTTGGGCAGAGACTGAGGGCCAGGGAGAAGTCTATGCCTGACCCACGAATTTGAGACTTGCCAGCCTCCCAAACCTTGTGAGCCATTTCCTTTATATGGTCTGTGAGTTCTGTGAGACACTGCAAGAAATTAGGGAATCCAAAGACAAAGGTAGAGTACTAGGGTGAGAGGGAGTAGTTGATATTAGAGATGATGGGGTGGTACAGCAGCTTGGAAAAATTAGACATTTGGGACATCTTTAACCTCTGCCTCATAGGAACCAGCTTTGTGCTGATCTTTATAAAAGAAATTATTCATTCACTATTCTTCACTGTCTTACTTCCCTACTCCTTACCTCCCAAATAAACTACTTGCCTCCAAATCCTGTGCCAAGTTCTGCTTTTGGGGGAATACAAACAGGTTGCATATTAAATATTAGAATGCCTCTTGAAGTCAAGGGCTTTGTTGTTTTTACTCTGGAATCCTTGATACTTAACATATTCCTGGCACATATATCAATGAGACATTTTCCTAGTTCTCAACTAAATCTGAATGTAGTTGGGAGGAAAGCCGTATACCATACAGAACAAGGTAGGCTGGATTCATATCAATAAGAGACATGATTAAAATGCTACGGGAAGTAGTCACTAACTATAAATTTGGAAATCAGTGAAGGCTTCAAGGAGGAGGTGGTATTAAAGCAGGTGTTTGAAGAATGCCTAAGATTTTGGCAAGTGGAGGAGGAAGAGGTAAATGATATTCCAGGTAAGTGAAACAGCACTGGCAAAGTCACGGAAGTGCTAAGGTACACAGAGTATTGGAGGAAAAGAATAGTTTTTGGGGCTGGACCTTGAGGTATGTAAGACAGGAGGGCAGAAAGCAAAACAAATCTAAGTTTGGCTGTGGCGGCCTGGCCATTCAAGAAAGGCCTGAATCAAGTGGGAGAAAAGAATGTTTCAGAACTGTACATGGAGCTATTTGGTTTTTTTCATGTGACTTCTAAAAAAAATATCTCGCCCACGCACTGACAGTCACTTCCTTTGCTAACATTATTTTGAAAGTCTGACTCACTAATATAGCATTTTCCTGAAACTCAAGACATTTAGAATTTGGATATCTTTTTCATTTGTTTCTTAAAGAGAACAAGAAACAGGGAAGGGAACTTCTCTTCTTGCCTAGGATTTCAACAAACACTTATATCTCGCCTTGTCTATTTTATTAGAATTCATTTCTTTAAGCCTTCCACTTTGATATTTTTATGCAACCCTACTTTTTCCTCGAGTGGACTGTGAAGTGAGTAGCTCATTCTCCTTATCATAGAAATAAGCTTTGTGGGCGGGTAGATGCAGGAGGCCAATGCAACCTTAGAGCAGCATATTGTGGTGGGAAAAGCGCTGGTCTGGAAACCAGGAAACCTGGGTTCTAGTTCTGCGTCTGCCTCACCCTGGCTTTTTGGCCTTGGCCAAGTCACAAAAACTTCCACTGTCTGTAAGATGTGGTATTGGGCTAGAAGATCTCTAATATCTTTTCTAGCCACAACCTCCTGTGATTAATTCAAGGTCAGAGGATAAAACTGAGCCTCTTATGCATGTCATTAAAAAAAATGTTATTTGAAAATTGATGACATTACCACTAGTTCACTTAAAAGATCTATTTTCTGATGATTTAATGTAGGCCCCATCAATTAAAATAAGCATAATAGTGCTCATATAAAATAGTAATTTTCTAAAATGCATCTGATGGCACCAGGCCTTGGGGTATATTCCATTAGTTGCTGGAAAGATGATAGCATTTCATTAAGAAATGAATCACAAGGAAAGAACTAGATTCTGAATGTATTCCCCACTGAAAAGTAGGCATCATTAATAAATGATAGCCTGTTTTGAGGTGTAGTATTCTTTAAGATATTGTTGTATCACAAAACAAGGAGTTAAAAAAAAATCTTATATCCATATACTCCGAATAAAGTAGTAGCCAGAGAAACACTCATTATTTATTTCTACCTTTGTTTATAATATACTTTCTAAGTAAAGTTATTATTTTGTTTTAATATTGGGAAATACTTCAGATTGCTCTATGAGTGATTCTTCCCCCCATGATAAAGAGGAAAAGGTTTTAACTTACAGAGAAGTAAGTATGAAATCAGTAACTGTGGAAGCACTGAGCTCGGGGACAGGCAAGAGAGTAAGGGAGGACGTCCTTTTGCCCAAGGGTACTTCTTGTTTGAGAGCACTGAGCACAGCAGCATTCTAATACTAACATTTTTCATTTAGAAATTTGAAGTAGAGTACCAATATTATCAAGGGAACCAGAAGAGAGAAACTGCTGTGCTCAATAAATACTGTTTAAAAAAACTCATATTGGATTTTAGAAACCTTTAGCCTGATTATTTACTTTTCAGACATCAAACAGTTTAGGGGAATACAAAACAAACTCTACTTTGAACCTAATAGTACAATGACAAAAATAACTATTTTCTTCCTAAAACATTTGAAAATACGTCCAGGGTGCTTGTTAAAGCAGAATTCTAAGTCTGCAAGCATTAAAATCACAAAAATGATTTTGGTGAGGAGTGTTGAGGAAAACCGGCAGGAAACGTGAAGAGAGAAAGAGAATTAGCATTCATGGCATGCTCGCTGTATGCCGGGTGCCCTGATATACATTTTATGTACGTTAGTTTATATAATCCTCACAAACAAGTCTATGAAGTAAGTATTATTTTCATTTTACAGTTGATAGAACTGAGGTTCATTAAAGTTAATTGACTTGTCCAAGACACTGTAGTTGTTAATGCCACAGATCTCATTTGATTTCAAAAGCTGTGTTCTTTCTAACACCATGCTGTTTTCTGCGTCAGATTGTACACCTCTGCTGAAATTAAAAACAAATATTGTATATTTATTTTCCATGAATCATATCACTGTCATTTGATTTTAACTCAAGGTCCCAGAACAACAGCCCAACACTGTTAGCCTATGTAGATTTGGGTATCACAGGGTATACCTGGCAGGCCAGCGTACCTCAGTGTATTCTGGAGGGTTTGATGTACTTAATGGGAGAGATGAGGACTGGACTTTTTGGGGGTTGATGACTGGCCACCAGTGCCATGATTTTCAAGCCTAGTTCTAGACTAGCATGAGGAAGTGAGGCATTTGCTTTGCGTGCAAAATTTAAGGGGCCACCAAAAACTCAGCAATCGAGGTAAATAATATTTTAATGTAGTGCTTAAAAAAATCAGATAAGCAAATTATGGTCTGTGGGTCAGCTGCCTGTTTTTGTAACTAATATCATGGCCTGAGTTCCAAAATGTTTCAGACAAAGGTCTTTCTTTATCTCTCAGGCGTGTAAGGAAGAAGAAAGATCTGGCTCTGAGTGAAATCAAAACTAAGATTACCTTCTGGACCCAGGCACCCCATTTTGAGGGTATAGGGACAGTATTTCCTCTGGCTCCACCCTAGCAGGAATCTCCTATGTTCTTAGGGTAGGAGCTAGACTTAAGATGACCGAGTATCCTGGTTTTCCTGGATTGTCCAGGGTTTATCACTGAAAGTCCTGCATACCCGAAAATCCCTCAGTCCTAGCAAACCACGATGGTTGGTAAACCTAACAGGAGAGATGTACTCAGAGTCATACTATTAAAAAATGGAGTATAGAGGCACTTTGTTGGGGGCTAACTGTTAAAGTTTAATATAAGTTGTTGTTGTTAGGTGCCCTTGAGTCACTTCCAACTCATACCGACCCTATGTACAACAGAACAAAACACTGCCCTGTCCTGCGCCATCCTCACAATCGTTGTAATGCTTAAGCCCATTGTTGCAGCCACTGTGTCAATCCATCTTGTTGCAGGTCTTCCTCTTTTTCGCTGACCCTCTACTTTACCAAACATGATATACTTCTCCAGGGACTGATCCCTCCGGAAACATGTCCAAAGCATGTGAGAT